CTGAGCTGTGGTTCGAACCCCCAAACCCGCATTCTCATGATTATGAGTCCAGTAGCCTAACCACTAGGCTACTAATGCCACTTGGACATTTGTCTGTGCAACCAAACTAATAGGTAGGGAATCGATTAAAACGTCTCGAGTCATATATGGCTCTTTTGGAATGATGCATCAGTAAGGCGAAACATCAAAAAAGCTAAATGAAATGAATCCAGGGACGGAGAAGAGCTTCGTCATGTGAAAGGCAAGAAGTTTTTTTTTAATTTAATGAAGAAGGACAGTGCTACTTTTTCTCAGTTGAAGGATGAACTGATAAACAACAAATGGAATCTTCATGCTGAGTGTATTGCTTACATTGACAACAACATTGTAATTGTTCACTCAAACAAACTTGTTAATGGAGTGCCTTTGTTCATTATTAGAATATCAGAGGATCTCAGTTTTGAAAATTTCCACATGGATGTGAAATGTACTCCTTCTTCTTTATCCAGAAGGAGGATAACCACTATTAACACATGGTCAGCTTTAGAAGAAAATGTTTGTTTTCTGACAAATCTTGAATTAGACAATAAGAAAAAAGTCATTCAAGAACAACTACATGCCATGGGAACACGGTGTGTTGGCAAAACTGTTTATACTCCAGATACTATTGTTTGAGTATTTCAGTATTTTGCTACTTCAAGATGTTTGTATCAGAGATTGAGAAATGATTTTCAGTTGCCATCTGTGCAAACACTGACCATGATAACTTCAAAAGTTGCAAAATTAGATGAATTTTTATTTTCAAATACAGTGTTTAAACAAATCAACGATACACAAAGAATGTGTGTTCTCCTGCAAGACGAAGTGTATGTGAAGAAAATGATGTTGTATCACAGTGGACAAGTGTTAGGAAAAAGCATTGATAACCCACAGGCACTTGCCAAAACTGTTCAGGGAAAAATGGTGACCTGCATGTTTGGAGGGCCAACATTTCTTGCGAAGATGTTACCAATTTCAAAGTTAAATTTTAACTTTTTGCATGATCAAATCAAGCTTTCTATTGAGTGCATTGAAGAAGCAGGGGGGCAAGTTAAAGCGATTATTTGTGATGGAAACCGCAACAACCAAGCCTTCTATAAACAGTTTGACACTGAGCCTGAGAAACCATGGGTCACACAATCTGGCATGTTCATTTTCTACCACTATGTACAAATCTTAGAGAACATCCGGAATAATTGGCCGACTGTTCAACGATGACGGCATCCAAAGAACAGCAAAGTGGAAGCACCTCCAAGAACTTCAAAGTACAGTCAAACCTGTGTAAGACGGCCAGCCATTGTCAAGGAGAAAAGTGGCCATATAAGACAGTTCATGTTGACGTCCATTGTTACTTCGTTACAGAGTGGGTAAACCCCTCATCTCACTTACGATTTGTGTACGAGTTCTGGGCAGGGCTTATGGGTTATGAGGGATCACACGATTACCTCACCAGCAGCTGAAAATTATTGGGAAGGGCCGACGCAACATGATCGGTTGGAGGGACTACCTAAAAACAACGACAGCTGATTGAATTATGACGGCTCGCCCACAACGCTAGGGGCCAATGCACATTTTATGATAAAACGTAATGGAGTCACTACGGTGGCCGTCTAAGACAGGTGTTATTGCTTAGTGTGATAGGGGTTGTGTGTTAAATTATGGTGGCCGCGGCCGCGTTGGACAGGTGCCCGTTTTACAGTTAAATTATATCGAAAAAATGCAAGGGGGGAAATGGAAAGTGGCCGTTTGTACAGGTGGCCGTCTTATAGAGGTGGCCGTCAGGGCAGGTTTGACTGTACTCTATGATTCCATTGTAATTTTATTGAACGGAGCATCTGTCATTCAGAAGATATGAAGAAAGGAAAAGGTCCAGTTCAAGAGCAGACCCGTTCGATGATAAAGAGAGACTGTCTACGATTTTTTAAATATGGAAAAGGAAACTTCGCCAATGCTAAGCGATTTCACAAGTGTGTTAGGGAACCTCTCCTGGACATTCAAACCATACATTTTGTTCCTTGGAATCTACATATACTGTTAGGAATCACTCTGAAACATCACAACCTGCTTGAGGCAGTCGCACATGAACTAGATTTAATGTTGGCTTAGACTTTTGCTGAATCAGCCACACAAAGCAGGAAAACATCGCCTGCCTTTGATGAGTATGTCAAAATGTTATTGACAAAGAAAGATTAGACGAAAAATGGAATTGTTTTGAAGGCTGTCTTGCATTTTCTGAAACAGAAGGAGACAGAAACAAGAATCGAAAGTGGGTGGAGAAATGTTATCACTTCAAAACCATTCCACTCGCTGTTGGGACATGCCCAGTCACAAGTAGCTTGGAGAAAGTCTTTGAAATTAAAGGAATCACAGGCTTATCACAGCAGATCCTTTATCGGCAACCACTGCCAAAAATACATGCAAGAAACAGTTTACACTAATATCAGCAGACACCTTCACCAGTTCACAGTAAATCTAACATCTGATCAACGCATAGTAGACAAAGCTCAGGAAATAAGAGAGATATTCAGTGCACTCAAGAGTAGTTTCTCCACAATTCACCATGCCATCTCTCACACAAATACTGTACACCCATCAGAACACATGTCCATTAGCGCAGACATTGTTTCATACCTAATACTATTCTGCAAGTTATGTCCTCACACAGTGACACCAAAAATACACATGCCAAAGTGCCATTGCCCGCCATTTATGAAAGCTTGGGGCTTTGGCCTTGGCATGCTGGGCGAACAAGGGGGGGAAATGCTCCTTGCCACAATCGTTTAAGTCGAAAAGAGAACTGTAGGCATAAGAAACAAACAAAAACAACTTAGAGCTGTTTTGGACACAGACATCGTCGGTATTGAAGGCCACACTCCCTAAGCTGGTGGAAAAACGCAGGAAAAAATAAACAATACCACAAAACGATTCACGGATAAAACCTTAGTTTCTAAATATTTTTAAAGTATGTTTATCATTCATAAATATTTACTGTAATTGCATCAATTCAGCTGTGAAGGTGTAAAGAATAGTCTTCCATCTCAAGTGAAATGTACTCATGCGTCAGCTGAACAGAACTATTTTCCCATTCAATGATAAGGCTGCGTGCATTAAACCAACAAAAGCTACAAGATTTTTCAGAGGAAACACAAAAAAGTAAGCGTGTTTGAAAGTTCAGAGTCTGACTGTGAGATGACAATGAATACTGTAAAAATCAGTTCATCCCTTTATTCTTTATTATTTTTTTAAAAACAGGTTTGTTTGTGATAACCAACCAATGATGGAAGCCACATTCCCCTTCTTTTAAACTACACTTTATTTTACATCTCAGTGATCAAAGTTATGCTCTCGTAAAATACACCTTTGACTCCATGTGATCATTTATATTGGTTGTTTATTTGAGTTTCTCGGCTGTAATAAAAACTAATGTTGTTTTATGTGTAGGCCTACAAAACATAACATCGTGGATGAGCCGCTGACTGCCAGACTAAGTGCCCACAGGTAGCGTAACGGGGACATGACCTGGTCTCGGAGGTCAGGTTGGCTGGCAACAAAGTGATCCAGAGTGGAACAGCCGTGAGAGAAGAAGGCCACACTGCTCTCTCCATCATCACTCCTCAGTCATCCTGCCCAGTCAGACGAGAAAGAAACTGCGCGGATACAACACACTACCAAGGAAAAGGAAAGACGAACCGTGGAGGATGGCACGGAAAGAAATTCGCAGGATGAAGCGGAAACATCAAGAACACTACAGGAAGGCAGTCGTGGACTCTCGCAAACTGGCAGATTGGAATGACATCAAACCAGCGAGAGTGGACCAGAGGGAAGGTCAACTGATTGCTGTTGCCTGACAGAATGCTTGGTACCCACGTATATTTATCTTTGTTCAAAATGTCTGGGTTTTTTGGGTGTTTTTGCTCACAGCATTCTTTGAAAAACCATGAAATTTTTGGGTTTTTTACACCTCCATCAACACAACAATCGATCATTTAGGAGGTGGGATCTTCCCTTAAAAAACCCTGCTCATATATGAGTATGAATGAATCAGTTCAGTTCATCAGAGTCAAATCTATCCAAGAGAGACTAGTAGTCAGCTCTTCCTCAAGAAACATTTTTCGAACACATGAATTAATTTTTTGCAAACTGACAAATGTCCCCTTGATTGAATTTTATTTGCTTGATATTGTGTGAACTGATGCAAAAATGTCCAAAGTATTGTTTATTATGTAGTTAACCCCCCCACCCCCACCCCCAACCATGTAAAATCTAACATCCCTTCCCATGTTTGACTATGTCCACAAATTAACCGTCAGTTAGTACAGAGATAAAGTATGACAGACAGAGTAACAAGAGAGGCCTGAGGAAAGCAAAGAAGTAGTATTAAATAGCGGAGCCTTCAAAAACCCACTTCTTTCCAACAGGGTTTACATTTGGGTATTAAAAATATCACAGTACAGGTAGCCCTTCGTCCCCAAATGAAGACATATTTATTGAGAAACAAATCCAAAATTTTGATTGACACTCAAAAGGTATCGCAAAATTTTCCGCAGAGAACATTTTAAAAGTACAATAAAAGTCATCGAAAGTAAAAAAAAACAAACAACAGCCAATATACAATCCGTCCATGAGTTTGGTGAAAAAGAAGCACATCCATACAACAACAGTTCATGTACAGCAAGGACAGAGTAAGACAAATTTTGTTTCTTTCAGTAAGTAGAATGTGCTGGGAAAAGTGAGACAGACAGACAGACAAAGACAACAGAAGAGGGGAAAATAAAGAAGTAGGACCTACCAGTTGCATCCTCCAACCATCTGCAGTAAGACAAACGGACAGACAGAAACAATAGAGTGAAAGAAAAGAAAAGTTCATCCGCGTTTTTTTTTAGTAGAGGTTTTACAGCGCTCGCAACTGCATGAGGTCATATGAGCGCCAGAAGATTAGAGGTGTCACAAGAGAGTAACAAACATTTTTTAAAAAAGAGGGGAGATAAGGACGATAGATGTTTGATAGGAAAGAAGGAGCAAACCACACCCGAGCACCAGCCAACCACCCACGTTCATTGTTTGAGTACACGTGTTCCCGGCGTTGTCCACACAATTTTACTCATTGTCACAGGACGTTGATGTCTCCCTTACACTTGGTGCAGCAGTTGAAGGTGAGGTTCTCGTGGCGGGTGTGTGGGTGGAAGCGATTGATCTGACAGCCCTGGGTGTTGCTTCCCATCACAGGCAGGAGATGGGATGACCCGGATTGGATGGAGCCCACAGGTTCACAGGGCCTGGACAGAACCTAGAAGGAGATGGGGGGGGGGGGGAATAAGTGAGTCATTGTTTATTTTTTAAATTTCTTTTTTCTTAGAGATTTTACGGCGCTGGCAACTGCATTAGGTCATATGAGCACCAGAAGATTAGAGGTGTTGTTACAAGAGAGTAACAAGACAAACATAAAAAAGTATAAGGGGAGAAAACGACGATAGATGTTCCAAAGGAAAAAAGAAGCAAACCACACCAGAGCAACCGCCAGCCACCCACCTTGTTTATTTTCGTCTTGTTTTGTCAGAGTAAAGGGAAGAACATCGACACAGTAAAGGTCATTTTTGTGCTGTGAAAATGTAAGACTGAAACAACAGAGGGAAAGTAAAGAAGCAACCCTCAAATAACCTGCAAAGAGACTTCAGTCTTAGTTTTAGTTTAGTTTTAGTAAGAGTTTTAGGGCACTTGAAATACAATAAGGTAATATAAGTGCCGAAGATTAGAGGTGTTACATTAGAGTAACAAACACAAAAAAGAGGAGAAGTGAGGACGACAGATGTGAGATAGGCAAGAAGAAGTGTACCATTACAAAGCACCCGCCAACCACCCACTAATTAAGTCATATGAGCGCCGAAGATTAGATGTGTTAGCAGACAAGAGAAAAAAATAAACAGAAAAGAAGGAGAGATCAAAAGAAAGATGTCTGACATGAAAGAAGGAGCAAACACACCACAGAGCACCGACTAACCACCCACAAACAAGAAAAACAGTGAAAGAAAACAAGTAGAACTTCCCAGTGGCGCCCTCCAGCTACCAACTAACCTTGCAAAGATAGGTCAAGAATTGTACAGCAAAAGATCACCGATCACATATAAAACGAAGCAACAAAATACCACTGACCACATACAAAACAGAACAACAAGAGACCACTGTACAGCAAAAGATCATCGATCACATACAAAACGAAGCAACAAAATACCACTGACCACATACAAAACAGAACAACAAGAGACCACTGCACAGCAAAAGATCACCGATCACATATAAAACGAAGCAACAAAACATCCCTGATTACACGTGAAACAAACTAATAAAACAGAACTGCTGACCACATGCAAAACCAAGCAACAAAAGATCAGAACCACATGCAAAACAAAACAAAACAAAAGATCACAGACTACATACACTGACCACATAAAACAGAGCAACAAAATACCACTGACCACATACAAAACAGAACAACAAGAGACCACTGCACAGCAAAAGATCACCGATCACATATAAACGAAGCAACAAAACATCCCTGATTACACGTGAAACAAACTAATAAAACAGAACTGCTGACCACATGCAAAACCAAGCAACAAAAGATCAGAACCACATGCAAAACAAAACAAAACAAAAGATCACAGACTACATACACTGACCACATAAAACAGAGCAACAAAATACCACTGACCACATACAAAACAGAACAACAAGAGACCACTGACCACATACAAAACAGAACAACAAGAGACCACTGACCACATACAAAACAGAACAACAAGAGACCACTGACCACAATCAGAATAAAACAACAAAAGACCACCGACCACATACAAAACAAAACAACAGCAGACCACTGACCACATACAAAACAAAATCACAAGACCACTGACCACATACAAAACAAAACAACAAAAGACCACTGACCACAAACAAAACAAAATAAAAGACCACTGACCACATATAAAACAAAATACCACAGACCACATACAAAATGAAATAACAAGACCACTGACCACATACAAAATCAAGTAACAAAAGATTGCTGACCACATAGAAAATCAAAGCAAAAACCCACAAATCATACAAAATAAAATAAAATACCACTGACCACATACAAAACAAGACAACACAAGACCACTGACCACAATCAGAACAAAACAAAAGACCACTGACCACATGAGCGTACTGCTCGGCCCTGGTGACGGCGTTCTCCCACAGGTCTTCATCTCCCTCTGTGCCCACGGGAACCGCCACGTGTGCGGGCAGCAGCCGGAACCGAACCGCTTCGGACAACTGTTGGCACGCCCGGGACAGGTCAAGGACATTGGTGGAAGCCAGGCTGGATGACCGCTGAGAGTTCAGGGGGTCAAACGCATTCTTCACTTGTTGAAGTACCCTGTCCACACATAAGTAACAGAACAATTAAGGAGGGTCCACATCAGATCACTTTACTCTTTACCAAATAAATCACAACCCCTGTAAGTCACATAGAATAATTAATAAAATTGACAAATAAATAAATATTACACTTCATGAATCCCCAGAGAAAATATCAGCTGCAAAGGCAAACATACATACATAAATTCATAATTTAATGCACAAATATACAATACACCAACGTAAAACAATTTTCCAAACTTGCCATTCCTTGTCACAGCTCTGCAAGGCCCTGGTTTTGTTGGGGGGGGGTTAATCTAGAGCTAGGATTATCATTTCTTGATCAAAGACACACCCCAGTGACCACCCATGTAAACCTCCTGTCACCAAGACTAGCTTGACATACTTTTTGAGTCGGAACTCACTGCTCACTTTGCCACTGGATTAATTAACCTAAAGTTCATTTGCAGAGGTGGCATTTTCAAACTTTTGTAAAAAGTGAATCAGGAACAAAATACCAGAATATATCCAGTGTGTATTTTCATATTTAAAGTCAATTGCAATGTCTGACACTAGAGCATCGAGAAAAAAAATCTGATTTTACTCAGAATTAATTTGGATCTCCACTCCACACAGATAAGAAAGCACCAGGACAAATCGATTGTTATTGGGTTATTTGTTTTGAGGTATTAGGCAGGACTTTGTGGGGGAATCTTGAATTCGTGCCCCCCTCCTCGGTCAAAAAACAGTTCACCAGTCGGAGAAGCTGATCATAACTCGCCCCCTGTCGTTATCGATATGTATAAATGAGGCAGTCGCATAGAAATCGAGTACTCGATACTATTGCAACTTCGGTGCATTCACGCATTGTGTGACGTAAACCTAGTCCAGACATCCTCCGTGCTCCAGACCACGGCATAGACTGAACACACACACCCCCATACACACATGCGCGCACTTTTTTCTTTAATAAAATGAAGCTTGAGTTCAGTTACTGTTATGATGTCACTGGGCTCAATCAGTTTTAGTGTGTGTACACCTGAACCAAGATTTGGGCCGGTTATCAATCATTGATGTATTGTGTAGTGTACACCTGCATTGTGTGTGTGGATTAAATATCCAACAAAAATTTTTTTAGTATATACCCTCTTTGAAATCCTCCCCATTGAGAGCAGGGATAACTAATAACATTGTACTTCAAATTAAGAACGCAAACACACGCACACAATGCTCAGAAAAGTGAAGGATCATTTACCAGGTTCGATACCCTACTTCTGTCAATTTAAAACTATTCAATTACAAAAGGGGGGTCGAGTTAAGGATCAAACTTTCCGCACGTAGGGCTGTGATATCAAGGGGGCGAATTGCATTACGTCCGTCTTTGTACAGGGTGAGATCGTTTTAAGGAATCTGGTTTACGCTTGACCATTGATAACTCAGACTGTAGTGACCACAGGCTCGTGACTATCCCCGACTAGTGCCGTATGATTTTGAAAAAAATGAAAAGAACTTCATCAAAGCTCCAAAGTGTGAAATCACTATTCACACTTTTCAAATACTGTGTAAGAATTTTTTCTTTCATATATAGAAGTCCAACAGCAGCTTTGGTTATTCAACTAAACTCAGTACAGTCGTCTCTGCCTCAAAGCAGGCCATACGAAGGCACACTCCACTTAAACATACACTTTCGTCATACGGCCAGGATTTTTTACTCTATAACTGAGACTTACAAATGCACGGGTACTCCCTCTAAACACAAACTTCAATCAGCGAGAATTTTTTTTTAAATTGTTGAAAAATGTTGGTTTCTTCAATTTCAGTGTTGAAGATTAGAGGTGTTACAAGAGAGTGACAAACATAAAAAAAGATGGGAAGGGAGATAAAGACGATAGATGTTCGATAGAAAAGAAGGAGCAAACCAAGCCAAAGCACCCGCCAACCACTCATGTATTGACACCCTGATGAGGTGACCTACTTGTAGTTCTCCAGCAAGTTGGTCCTCAATTCGTGACGTTCGTTCAGCATCTGCTGCAGGGCATCTTGGGCATCGTGGGACTGTAAGGCATAGTAGGCACGGGCGTTGCCCAGCTCTTCCACCATTACCCTGACAAAACAACCAAAGCATATATTGCAAGAAACACTTCTTTCCACAAGAACTAAGGAAATAAGTCTGAAGATAATGTTTCAAAATACGGATAAAACAGCCCAAGACAACCAACCACACATTGAATGAAAAGAAAAGTGGTCATCTTAGACATAAATATAGTATAGATAAAAACACAAGGTGATGGTGAGAAAGGAGGGGGGGGGGGGTGTGATCGTTTGTACTGTACAGGAGGTGATTGTCTTAGACAGGTGGTTGCTACAGCAGGTTCAACAGTGTTGCACATTAAGGCTAGTACGGAACAGTACCGCACTACCAGACCAGGGGACAGACCTGTCTGGATTTTGAAACCTTTGAATTAGAGTGTAATGTACCGCACCTATTAGAACAGGACATTCTTGTCGATTTGAGTCCAGAATAGTAGTGAATTGCTACAAAATCGGTAAGACAGGACTATCCCAGTCCCGGGGTAATATCGTCTGTGATTATAGAGACATATAGCCGCCTACCGCATAAGGACAAAAATTGTCCCTGACTTGGTGGCGCCTGCTGTGAAGATTGTAGAGCTTGCGCATTGTGACATATAATCACTTAAAAATTTGCCACCACGCAGGATTAAATGTGGGGCACAGATTTTTTAAAATAATTATCGCATCTCAAAACTGATTTCATATTCGGAATCAACGTCGCAAAATAAGCAAAATGACTTGCAGGGAACCTGATTTGTTCGATACTATGTAAATTTTAGCAAATAATTTTATTTTTTAATTAATCGTCAATGGTGAAGTTCACCATATCAAGGTCACCCGGTGCGTTGCACATCTGCAGGAAAGTCAAAGCACAGATCAAAGCTTCTACACAAAATACCATGCAGTAGGCCCGTATGGTCGTGTTTTGCATCTCGATTCTCAACTTTATTGTCAGCTGCAGTCGCTCGGCTGTTTCTAAACAGTTTATTCTCATCAAATAAAATGGATGTTGTTCTAAATTGGACAGAAAACTATTTGTGCAGTGGAAAGTAAACCATGTTTGTATATAAGGCTGATGTTGGCTATTGCAATCAGACATAAAAGACAAGATGCAATCTAGATCTAGGCCAAGTACGGGTTGAATGGTGAAACACACACACACACAAAAAATATAATTTAACTTCGTAATCAAACATTAAATTGCGTTCCCCACGTGTTTTTGCTAATTTTGGATCGCTGAGAATGAAAACCTTATCATTTTTTTTTATTTAGTCAATATTTAGGAAATTTTTGGAATGCATTTTTAACTCTGCCTTGGGCAACAACAAAGAAGCCGCCTTATGCGCCGGATCAGTCCTGTCCTAGTGCAGTATCTGTTTTGACATGCAAAAAATCGACGGTGGGACAAGAATGTCGTAGTGCGGTACTAGCCTAAAATTTCACACTAGCCAATGCAGGTTCATTAAAATTTAAAATTCCAGCAGAAGATAATAGAAGTCACAAAATTACCCTCAGACAAAAACTGGCAAATGGTATAATTACCATCATGATCCGATTTTGTTCACACCAGACCTGTTTTGATGATAATGCCCATACAAAGACAAACTGTAGATATACAGTCAAGCACACTCCAAAGAAATACACATTATAAACAGGCACAAAAGATAGTGACTAGATTTTCAGGCACCAAATTTTGTTCTTTTGTACATATATTCTTTGTACACAACGCACATACACAGAGAAATTCGTACATAAATTTATTAAAGAAAAGATTTCTGCATTCCACCAATTTTGCTTAGTGTGCATGCTACACTGTATATCAAGTAGACACTGAAATAACGTTGTCACAGTTATCACTATCATTGTAAAGATTTAAACTAAATCAAACCAACCTTGAGGCCAAGTACTTGCTCCTCCACATGTCCGCCTGGATGGAGACTTTGTCAAAGTTCTCATGGTCTTCCGACATTTTCTTGCTGAACCCTCCAATGTCCATAGACAGTTGAGCTCTGTCCCTTTAATAGGAAAAAATTGGGGAAACTAGTACAGACAAACTCCATCGCAACCAGCAAGTTGAGTAGTGTAGGTAAGAATTAATTGCTAAAAAGTAGTTTCCATCATACAAGTTATATAGTTCAAGTCTTATAATTTCACGATTAACTTCGTGGGTGTTCATAGATGCAACCATACATTATTTGAAATCTGACCATTGCGAATTTTTTCAAGTTAATATTCTTTCTTGTATATCAGTGAAGGGTGCAGTGGCTGAACAGTTAGTGAGCTAGTCTCCGAAGCGGAAAGTGCGGGTTCGAGCCTCGGTTCGGACACAGATATATTTCGCCCTCTCCTGCCCACCCAGCAGTAATGAGTACCTGACTTCGAGTTAGGGAAGTAAAGCCATGTCTCTAATAAGTGACACGGCCAATAAAATACTATTATATTAAACCCAACTTAAACCCTTAGTACTTTAACCAGAGTACTTTTGCAATTCTTACAAAAATTCCTCAATCACTGAAACTACCACCAACGAAAAAGACAGCCAAGAGAAAACCACCATACAGACTTGTTATAATATATTACCTTATAATAATACAAACATGCAACCTACAGGTTTAGATGAATTATAAATGTGGAGGTTAAAACTTCACTGCACAACATACCTTGCCAATCTTTCCACTCGCTGACTGAGGTCCTCTCCGACTGAAGCAACCAACAGTTTCTTCAGTTCTGCATTCACTTGAAGCTGAACCTCCAAGTCTTTCTTTAGACTGTCTCTCTCCCTTTCCACAGCCTCTAACTGTTCCCTGCCTGAGTGAACATTCTGAAGAACTTGAACAGCTAAAGTTTGAGCGTGAGAAGCTTCTAGACTAGGCAAAGAGTCACCAGTGCCCATGGTGGCTTGCCTGACTGTAGAATTTGAATTTTGCATGTTCGCAAAGTCTGGCTGGGAGGAAAAAGATGCCGATACTGGTAAAGATGTTCGTTGATTACTAGACATGCCCAAAGAGGAGTGAGAATCCTTGGAAGAATCTGAACCAGCAACATGACCACTTCCTGGGATGTAGCCAGATGCACTACTGTTAGTGCCAGGGGTGAGATTGGGCATAGATGACACACTGCTTATAGGAGAAGCTGCGACTAATTGTGTTTTTGCCTCGTGACTTTTTTCTGAACTTGAGTTTGTCTGAGCTCCGACGACAGCTACTGGTTTGCCCCCTTTCCTCATACTGTTGCTGGCAGACAAGCTCTGACTAGACATAATGACGGCATCTGATGAGGAATCAGAATTATTCTTGTTTCCTGGTGTCTCTTTTGGCAATTTTCTCCCTTGAAAGTTATACTTTGGCTGGGCTTGTCGCAAAAGCACAGTGCCTGCAGCCCCCGAGTTAGTTTTGGCCTTAGGAGTTGATGACATCTTCAAATCTTGACCTGGTAACAGATTAAATAAGAAGAATAGGAATAAGCATAACAGTTGAAATGTTGATTCGAGTTTCAATTATAATAAAAATATGAAACACCAACATTATTATTAATATAATAATAATAATATGTGAGGAATCGAGGAGAAATCAGGTGCTCGTCAAAATAACTAAATCAGAGAAACGGGCATTTTTCCGCCAGTTATGCAATTTTAATCAAATTTTAGCTTTTTGGCATTTATTAACTCTTTAATACCCATATAAAAACACATTTCCATGTGAAGTTTACTAAAAAAAAAACGTCGATTAAAAGGCACAAAGTAGGTCATTTTTCAGTTTTCAAGGACTCTTTAGCTATTGGAGTTACTTTGGCGGCCATTTTCTCGCTAATATCACCACTGAAACCAGTCGACCTCACCTTCTTCAATAGCAAATATCTTGACTATTATTCAAGATAGCTGGGTATTTTTTCATTGAAAGCACAAGGCAAATGAATAAGCTTTCAGATGATCCCAATAACTCCACATGCCTAAAAATTGACAAGTGCCTGATTCCACCGTGTCATGACACATATTCAGTTTGTCTTTAAACAATGCCACAAGCAGCCCCTACTGAGGCTACTGTCCCGGCCTAACCGCCCTAACAATATTATTATCCAGTAACCAGTAGTAGTCATTAGAAGTGGGGACAAAACTGGTGGTTGCCCATACATTAATACAATTATAATGACTAAAAGTAAAACAAACTAAAAATAAAAGCAGACATTTCAAATTCAACCATCTGGTTTGGGGCTGATCCAAATCATCTGGAAGAGTAGTTTAGTGTTTACAGTTTACCCCTAACCCGGGCACACGGTGCATCGGCCATATATCTATATATATATATAAAAGAGGACTTGGGAGGTTTTGTGCACAAACTCCTCCCTTATTACCTAACCCACACCTTTGAAACTTTGCATGCGTCCACAACATCCATGTGGCTAGGACCTAACTTTGAAAAAATCCACGCAAACTGCTTTCCCCGATTTTTCCAAAACCCTTTGTTTCTGTTGCACTGGGGTTGTATTGATAAAAGCAATCTAATAGTCTAACACCCCCACTTAAATCCTGAGTTGTTAGGATTAAACAAATTCATAATGTAGTAATACAAATATACTAACATGCACATTGATAACTGTACGATTCTTGGAACTTGTTAGGTCCGATTTAACAAACTCAAAAGTCATTTGACTATTGGACCGTATAAATTAAGGATTATAACAAAAACTAGCATAATCTGACTGCTAAATACTAGGCCCTACAAGGCAAAGTCTACAATTCAAGTTAATGGTTACAGATGAACTCTGCTTGTTGCATGCTGAATCTGATAAACATCATTGAAGTTTACAAGGCAACAATCGTAATGATATACAGTGAGTGATATGACAGTGATAGATATAATAGATAGAACAATGATAAATAGAACAATAATGATAGATGATAATCTAGATTTTGTCTAGAAGATATCAATGACAACATGTATATAATCATATCTGACTCTAGTCATAGACTCATTCATCATGTCATAGATAGCATAGATAGTCTAAGCCTATATGGCATAGGTTCATATCTAGATCTAGATCTAGAAACTAGATCTAGAATCTAGATCTAGAGCTAACAATCATATATCCAACAATCATAGCAATGTTTTATAACAATCACATAGACTATATATATAATGACAACACACAATGAGATCTATAGCAATAATGGTACACCTAGATCTAGATTTAGATCTAGATCTATATCTAGATATATATCAATCATAGTCTTAGTTATCTTAATTAAGACATTTCACTCCATATTTTAATTCATTGTGTCATGGGTCTCTGATCCTCATTGGATGTCAATATTTAGTCGCCCATGAGCAGGGCTTTGAATTTCTGCACCTTAACCCGAGGTCCAGGCTTTGTGAAAACATCTGCCAGATTGTCTTCAGAGGGTACATACTGCACTTTCATTAGACCTTTTGAGATTTCATCTCGGATAAAGTGGTAGCGTATGTCTATGTGTTTAGACCTCTGGTGCTGAACAGGATTTTTTGACAGAGCGATAGCTCCTTGATTATCACAATTCAGTGTGAAATTACTTAGATCTAGATTCATCATGTCATTAATCAAAGCAATAAGGAACTTTCCTTCTTGCGTAGCAGAAGACATTGCCATGTATTCGGCTTCACAAGAAGATGGTGCAATACTTTGCTGTTTCTTTGACTCCCAAGAGATAAGTGGACCTTCATTTGAAAGTGTGAAACAGTAGCCTGTTATGCTTTTTCTGTCTCCAGAGTTTCCCCAATCTGAGTCACAAAAACCAGATACGGTCAATTTGTCCACTGATTTCCTGAATGTCAATTTTTGATCAGTTGTGGCCTTCAAGTATCTCAGTACATGTTTAGCAATAAT